CTAGCTCCTAAAGATGAGTAGTACAACTTGGAGAGCTAGCATGACCCACAGATTTGTAGATAGCAAAAAGAATTTTGTCTTTACTCCAGATGTAGTCGATCAGCCAAGACGTGTTTGGTGTCTGAAGTTTGCTTGCTACAGACACAAGTATGTCATACACTAAAACAGTTTAAAAACAGTGTTAACGCCATCTTGACGATGTCGACGACAGCATTTTACAGCCTTTAAATTTTTGTTGATATTTCTGAATGAGTGCTTGAACACTCTTTCTAAAAATCACCCTTTAAAACAATGATATTTGCATTTGTCATACTTCCATTTCCATCAGTCCACATGGCTGTGCTTGGTGTGTATCTTGTGTTTGTCAAAACGCAAGCTGATAAGCATAAGCATCCTATAAACTATATTTAAAGCAATACTTTACTAAAATGTTATGATCTTGTTGGTGTGGTAGTTGCAGAGCAGCCCCTGTGCTGTACTAACAGAGGTGTAGAGGAGATTCTTCTCAGATTTAGCAGTAAAAACTTGTGATTGTGCTTTTGCTAAACTTTGTCAACTTTAAACCTGTGGTAGAACTGTTTATTTCAAGAAGAAACAGGAGAAAAAAAGCTAATATTCCTGCCTGAAGTGGTTATATGACTGAGCTGAGTCAGAGGCCATGTTGACTGGACACATGGTAGTACTCGGATAAGGATCACTGTACATATTTGAGAGAATTCATCAAAATTATTGTGCCTACATGCCATACCAGCTTTTTGTTTCTTTTCATCTGGTCATTTAAAAGTTCCAGCATACATCATTTTTCAGCTGTTTCAGCTCTTTTAGCTTTGGTGGCCATGTGGAAAGCGGTGCAGTTTGTTGCTGTCTGAGGCGAAGTGAAGTGAATGATTGGCAGGAGTTTATGATGCATTCAACTGTACCAGATGGAATTGGTTTAACTTTTTTTATATATTAAAAATTCTGAAACAAACCTAAGGGGAGCACAACTGCTGGAGGTTCTTTTATTGTAGATATTTTCAAACACATCGTAATATTTGTTTGGTTAGTCAGGTATCTGAACAAGGCATTAAATAAGTGGACATTAAACCTTCCATATATTGTATTTTTAGATGTGAAGCACCTCATTGACTTGGCTAAAAGTGACAGTTTAGGTTGTTGCATCAGTGACACTGCGTGTCCTTGTTAATTCATAACAATATAAAATATTTTTTGAAATATTGTCTCTTTCTAAGGTGTTAAAATGGGACAAGATGGAAATTGAATGGGACAAACTTGGGTGGCCGTCATTATACAGAGGGCGAGGTAGTTAAGACTAAGTGTTGGAAACTCTGTATTCTGCCTAATGGCCTTTACCGATGAAATTTACTTTAGACTGCAATTTTGTGGCTTAAAAAGGAAGCTCCTGAATACTAAGTAGAGAATTGAATACCAGTATAACAAGCAATTACTAGAGTATTCAAATTATTCATACCAGCCCTGCTAATGAGATAAGTAGCACATAACTAAATCTGAGAAACAAGCATTGGACACCAAACATGTCTTGGCTTATCAACTTGCAGATTCAAGGCCTGCCGAAGTTTCCATAGTCATGAACCTGTAAAACCTTTATAACATCATGCCGTTCTGTTCGTTAAAGGTGACTGAACCGAAGCCAGTACTGTTGTAATCCACGTTCCGATTGCAGATGGGTTATTTCTGATGCTCTTGGGGTTTCTTTGTAAGTCTGTCTGAGATGAAGAGCATTTTTGCTGGGCTTTTTCGTCCATCCGCTAGAGCTCAGCACAGTGCAGTGAAGCTGATTGCTGAAGTCAGCAATTCTGATGCGTAGGCACCACAACAGAAGACAAAACAGGGAGCGGCATGATGGCAGAGGTAAAGGGGAAAACGTCAGCGTAGACGAGTGGAAAAAAAAATGGGAAGGGTGTGTAGCATCTATTCTGTAGACATTTCCTTCCTTGTGTCTCTATAAAAGGGTCAGCGCAAACAGACTGTATATACACGTATTACTCACTCTCTAGATGATGAAATGAGTTCTATAGCTGACATACACTCTCTGTGTATTATATAATATTCTCACACTCACGCTGAACAGGATTTGTTTGTGAAACTCATATTGTCATAGTATGTGTCCCAGTTAACCCATAGAAGTCGAGAGTCAATGTTGGCCTTTTGCTGTTAGAGATGCAAATTTTGCATATTCTTATGACTGATCACTTACGTGTGCACGCATCAACTGAAATCTGTAGTACAAGAAAGATATTAAATAGCGTCTGTTGTATGGAACATATTACAGATAAGTGAGGCCAGGCCTAAGCATGTAAATGAAGTAAACTGCCTGTAACCATATGAAACAAACTGCATAAGAAGTCAGTTTAATTTAAACCAACATGTTAATGATTATACAATCAAAAACTTAAAACCTGATAAAATGACTGGAATATATAGTGATGGGATGCTGTAAGTTCTGAAGTTCTGAAGTTATATTTACTGCTTGTTACTAGCACAGGTTAAAACGAGCATAAACGCCATGACCTAGATAGCTTTGGCTTAGTGTACCTTAGTAGCTTCCAAACTCCTTCCAAACTCGTCCTTCTCTATAATTCTGCACACCCACGTGTGATGTCCTCACACTGCCGTGCATCTCACTTTCTCTCAGAGAACATGGATAATATAGTTGTCTGTCTTGTTGCTTGTGGATGTTTGCTTTGATATGATGTATAAAGTAGTCCAGAACACCACTGTTTTTAGCTGCATGCTTCATTTTTTAGTCGGCCTATCTAGAGGAACCAATTGCTTATTCATGCCTACAATGCTCCTTAAATTGAATGATACACCCGTTTATTCAGATAGGAAGTGTTGTTTTTTGGAAGTAGAATAAAATTAACTTCAAAAAATAGCATTAGTTGACTTTACATAATTATGTCAGTGTTATATTATTGTGTAGTTACAAAAATTATTTAATTTACATCCTTTTCTGGGCTGCATGTGTCATTTTTCCTTTGGTTATGATGTCAGAAATTTCCAAAAATGTGATAAAAATGTAAAGGAAAAGTTTTCTTTATACAAAACCAGCGTTTATACAAAACCAGCCCTTAATATGTAATTGTTATATCCCCTTCTCTGAAGGCATATGATGCCCTAAATGTAACAAAAGCCCAGCAGTGAGGTTGCTGAACTTCACCCTCCTCTGCTATCACTGCAGACTGGCAGGTTCACCTGCAGAGCAGCGCTAGTAGCTTGTTAATGAAGTAATGTTCTTTTTTTATTTGAGGGTTGTCCCATTTCGTAGGGGAAGGTTTGAAACAATACCCTTTGTAACTCAGTGACACTCGAAAACAAGTGGTAGGGGTAAAAATAAGAAATGGGATTGGCCCCAACTGTCCATTAAATTCAAATCATAATAAAATATCTTCTCTCGTACTTATAAAGACAAATGTGGTGTTAATTGAAAGTCTAGAATCAATACTTTTTTACAGTGAGCTACAGGTAAAGAACATGAATTCATATAAAATTACACCATGATTACGCTATTTATATACACCATAAAAAAAAACAAGTCATACCCATAACTTTAGCTAAAGGCTGAACAAACGTCTCCCCATGATTTGCACATCACTGTATTTCTTTAAAAAATGATCTATCGTTTTTTGTTTTTTTTGTTTTTTTTTAACATTGTATTTATTGAGTTTTACAAATTTTACAATTAAACAATTCCAATTATGGCCAATAAACACTGAAGAACAAACAAATATTAAGCAAACACACATAAAACAAATAACTGTAAGAAATTAAGTAATTAAGTAGCTAAAAATAGTACATGAATTAATTAATTAAAAACAAGTAAACAATAACAAATCAAAACCATAAAAAAACAGAAGAATAATTTGTGTTTTACATTTGTTAACTTATTTGAAGTTCACTGTACTCAAGATTTTAAGTTAACCCGGTTACTTGCTTTTCAAGTGTAAAAGCTGCCTAATTTTTTACAGTGTGACTTAACGTTAGGATGTCCATGAAAAAGGGATGTACAATTTGTAAAACTGGATTATTTTGATTAAAAACAAATCAACATACCTAAAATGATGGTTAATTATGAAAGATAAATATTATTGTTTTTAATGGTGGTATTCAGAATGAGTATTTGAGTACTCATTTGGAAACACCACTGCCTATTCGAGCCTGTAAAATGCTGGTTAGGCCCCTGTGGTAGGGAATAGAGGGGTTATTTTGGCTGGGCCTTGCATGAAACTGTAGTGAGCAACAGATCGTGCATGCACGCTGCACTTAAGAACTAATCCTCTTTGTAAACCCCCCTTCAGTTCAACAAGCTGGATTGACAGAACACATCTGTGTCCCCCCACCCACTCACCCACTCCAACGGACATCATTTAACACACAAACAGTCTGTCAAATAAAACCAATCTACAGCATTTCAGCAGTGCATACTCTATCTCTTTGCAGGAGAGCATATGGAAAATGCCAGCGTGGTTTTTTGACCATATGGATGTGCCATTACTTGATGAAGATGAGACGCAATCACTAATCCCTGGCTTTAAAAGCAGCAAGTCAAATCTGACTTTTTCATACATGCATCTGAAATTTCCTCTGAAGTCTAGAAAGTGCAAAAACAGACGGCCAGATATCCACCCGGATATCAGATAGACGTGGGTAGTATGATGATATTTTACTGTTATGATGGTTATTTTCGTTATCATGACACACATAATGCATTTCTGAGCATAATGCGGATATCGTAAGTAAATAGAGAGCATAAATAAATGCACAACTGCTGCAGATAGTGTGTCAAAATGCACAAATCCAATCAGGTAAAGGCCAAACGCAAATCGGATCAGAGCGTTCCACCCTGCTGTGTAAATGCGGCCCATTTACCAACACATGCTATTAGAGGTAGGGGGGCTCCTTTACCACAAGTATTTATTTTATCGCGCGGTGATTTATTAGACTCTCTCTCTTTCTTTCTCTGTCTTTCTCTCTTTCAGGAGGAAGACCCTGATAGAGGTCAGCCCTGTATGAGATGTGGAGAGCAATGTCCGGGCTTCCGCATGCACGGCTGGAGGTAAGACTAAACAAAGACGTTTTCCCCCCTCAGTATGTGATGAGAGTCGATATTTCACAAAAAGCAAGTTTATGGCAGAGTGATGTCACACCTATTGGACATGCAAAAATTTTAGCTTTGCTGTATCACTGGTTAACGTCAATGCTATACACTGGCCATCGGATAGCGTAACTGCAGTAGAAAGCTTAACAGTGATCTTCCTCGTCCTTTGCAGCTGTTCAATGCCAGGGATGCACCAAAATTTCAGACACTGAAACTTCCAGTTTGCACCCAATATTAAATAAGACTACGGTGAAGTGTCAACATCTAAGACTTTACAAATCATTTTAAAGGTAATGGAAATAGCAATTAAAAACACTTTTTGTTCAATAAACAGTGGAAAAAAATAAATGTTGGCTGTGTGGGACATTAGACAATTAATTTATAATCACAGTTCATCCTGAGTTTCAAGAGGAGATTCAACATTCAACAACTTCTTTACTACAGGTTTGATGCCACTTGACATTGTGTTTAATAGACACAATACAGCAAAACAAGGCAGCTCAGTTTTGTCCTATTTGAAGCAGATTTTATCAATAAAAAAAAAAAAATCATCATTAACTTGTAGTTTTATGTGTAGTATGTTTATTCGAAAGCATGAATAACATGGCATATAAAAAATTAATACAGTTCTTTCAGATTTTAGGCCAGGTATGGCTTATAGGGCATCACTATTTAATGTTTGGCCAGTATTTAGCTTTTTCAATACAGAGCACCTTATACAACTGGCTTGTAACTCACTCACCTACTCACTCACATTTAGCAGGCTAAAAAATCTCCACAAGGGGGCGTCAGTAGCAGTCAAATAGCTTTTGTAGATAGCTTCATAAGAGCAGTGCTTCGTATCAATGACAATGTGTCCTTGTTTTTCTAAAGAACTGTTAACTGGACATATTACACAGACTGTACTTCAAACAGCCTACCAAACATACATATTGACATACTAACAACATAAATGTACCCTCAAAGTTGCAACAATGATCTTAAGGTCCAGAAGTAAACCTTAAATATTTTTCCCCCCAGCGAAAAAGGATGTATTTGTACCTTTTTTTAAAACAGAACAAGAAAATGAGAAGGTGCTGAAACAAGTCATATGGAGTCAACGCGACTTTTAAAATATAATTGTTATAATTATGGTACAATTATGTTCCTTAACTAAAGGTACTGAAGATGTACGCTTGAGGGTACCACCCCAGAGACACTCTTAGAAAAACTGGACAACAGTGTACCTTTCAGGGTTACCAGTGCTCATCACTGATCTGGTATCCTCAAGGATACGTCTTTAGTACCTTTAGTTAGGGTAAGTAACAAAATAAGCAGTAAGCTACATTTATATGTCTTAAGAGTATTTCCCTTTGAGAATGTGAACGTAGTGCACCTTTAAAACTCTATTACATAATTGGACCTTAAGGGCTATGTTGTACTTTTGAGGGTTCATTTACATGGTTTGTACCTTTTATTCTGACAGTGCAGGGTATGACACACTCTGCCACACACAAATGCCACCCTTGTGTGTAAGAACTATCATGTTTTTCAGTGAAGTATTACTTTCTAGACATGCCTTGGCATGTTTTGAAGGCCCTGGGATGGGTGAGGGGTGTCTATAAAATAAGTAGCCTGATTAGAGTGGTATGTTTTTGTAGTTTCCTTATAAGGTCTAGTTTTGTTAGGTTGCGTTCAAATCGCAAACCTTATTACTCAGTTCGGATCAAAGCTTTGATCTTTCTGCCTTATGACTGAGCACTCATTCATGTGTATAAGTGAGCCATATCTGTCCTTAGTGTAAACACACCTGAAACGACCTGCATGCAAGCATTTTTGAAATGAGTAACGTCACATTCATGATGCGATCCACGTGCACAATCACAAAGATTATTTGCTCTGGAGGTTCTCAGCTGATTATAATTAGGAATATGGAAAAAGTCTGGATGCTTAGCTTTTGCTGTTTTTGCTGGCACTTATATCCTGAAAGTTGTGTGGGATTATGACAGTGATATTTGATCGGCCTGGTCTCTTTACAGCCGCATGGCTACATGTTCGAGATGAGTCTGACCAAGTACAACTTATGAAGGTGTCTTAAATTTGAAATGCTTAGATTTTTGTGTGGATTGTATGTGAGCATACTCTTATGCAGTGTTTTCTCCCATGGTCTATGGGAGAAAACACTGACATAAGGACTTCAATAAGGATTTTTATGCCAGAAACACATCTGTTTCTGGTGCAACTGGGTTTATAATCTATAAATGGTAAATGGATACAGCAAAGAGATGTGAGTACCTCAAGGACCCTCAAACCCCCTCACCCCCTCAGATTCCCTGAATGAACCTATTAAAATTGATCAGCTTAAGTGGATTAGTGTGTATGGATGGGCAGTAAGTCCATTCAGCACACACAGACCTCCCTGTGAAGCAGAACAGCACTCTTGTTAGCATTTAGGCTTGTCCACTGGGATGAATATACATAATACATGGTAGAAATCTGCAAACACAATGAGCCTTACAACTTGTAAGCACACAGTACCCATATAGGTAGTACATTCACAGAGATGGGCTTTCGTTAGGTTTATGTAATAATGTAATGTTGACATGATGGTTATTTGCAGCCTTAAAACCTGTATTATATACAGTACTGCACAAAGGTCAGACTCTACCTTCCTTTACTTAATATCCAGTCAAAACAGATGTTAAATAATAGCAAAAAGTTATTAATTATTATTTAGCACCACAAATAAAGCAGAAAACATGTATTAAATTGAAAAATTGCATGGAAGCCTCAATGACTCTTGTTTTCAGCATTTAATTTGTTTACCTTTTACCGTTATTATAGTTTCCGCTGTTTTCTGGAGGCATGATTTCAGTTTTTTAAAGAAATGTGCTCAGATATTTTTCCATACCTCCAAAGTTCAGTCTTAGAAGTTGGTTTTGCATTGTCATACCATCCTAGCTTACATTCTGGTGCATATTGGTGATGTGATAGTACTTGATTCATTTATCCTCACCTGGAAGAGTAGAGAGGTTCTTAACAGCTACACATCTTTTCACACCCATAGCTTTGAGTCGTCTTCTCACAGTGGAATTCTTGGACACAAACACCTGTTTTTTCAGATCTGAAGCAACAGTGGAGCTTGATTTTCAAAGGTGAAAGCTTTAAGTACTGTTTATCTGATGGTGAGAGTTTTGGTCGTCTTCCAGGTCTTGCGCAGCTGTTCCATTTTCTCCTGTTTTTGGATATTCCTGCTTTGTCACTTATTTTCCTTTGACGTTCTCCTTTCTTATGCAAGTGGATTATTTTACATCTTATCTTCCCAGAAAAATCTCCTGAAAATGAGTGACTTGTACTTTGTATCCATTTTGACTCGAAATAAAATCTTCACTAATTGTCATTAATTAACTACTTACAGTTAATTAATACTTGAATGAGACATTTTAATATTTCATTTTAGTAATAAGAGCTATTTTTTGGAACTACTTGCTCTATTCTCTGTACCAATCTGAGAACAAGAGATGCTTGTTTGTTCTCTCATCTCTAGATCCCTGGAGAAGATTATGTTGCTAAGTTTAGCTACCAGAAATCAGCATTTTCGGAAAGGCGGTTCTTCGAACTATAATACGTATTTATCCAGCGCCCAGCTGTGCTTCTTATCAAAACACCAGATTCCATGTAACTATTTCATGCTATGTGATGTAGACATAGAACCAATATAACGTAGTGGGTGTGTGGTGAATCAACAGACACTGCAGTCATGACACAGAGCACAAACATAAGTAGATCTCTCAACCCCTTAAACTTCAAGGGCCTGTAATACTTACATATTAGTTACTAATAATATAACTAATAATAATTTATGGTAGTTAATAAGTCCTAAGATTAATCACTGAATAATAAGCCTGCAGTTAAAGGGGACTTGGATCTCTCTCGCTATTTGTTTCTCATGCTGTCAGTCTCTCTCTTTGTTTCTCTCTCCTACACACGTAACACACACACTTTGGCACAATCTCTTTTGTTCGCTCACCTTTAAGCCTTGAAATACGTGTGAACAAGCTTTAGCGTTGGTTTTTGGGAGTTAAGTACCCAGATAAGATATGAAACAGGTTTCAGTACTTACCAGGTGCACTTTTAATAAAAGCTCTGAAAGGCACGAACACAAATCTGGGAGAGAGAGCAAGTTCTTCCATTCGTGATCCGCCCACTGATGTCTCTTTCATAGCTACTCTTGCGAGGTTTTACATGGTTTAAAGAACACCAGAAAAAAATCTCATTCAGCCTAATGAGAAACTGTAGTACACAGCAAAAATAGACATTTGTACTTTGTCCATTTAGGCTGTTTTCCACTGCACATCCCAAAACGTGAACTGACCCAACGAACCAACTAGAATTTACAGATCTAGTCCAAGTTCATCTCCTACCTGCTTGAGACAGCTGGAATCATCATAATAACTTGATTAAAAATGTAATCATCTTGCTGGTCAGTATCATATATAGAGCCAAGCAGAACCTTTTTTTATCTGATGAGCAGATAAATGTTACCTTTCTAGCTTATGTCATGTTAATGAACTTTTAACAAAGCAATCATTCTAAAAACACCAAATCAACATATCCACGTGCCATCCTGGTTTAGCACTTATTGGTGGTGTAATAGTGCTTGCTGACTTTATCCTCACCTGGAGGAAAGAATTCACAAATTTGTCGTTGGCTTTAGCTGCAAATGTTACCAAAGACAGAAAAGAACACCCTTGACTACCATTGGATCCTGTTGGTACCAGTCTTCAGCCTTCAGTCTTTTGGTTCTGAACCAGTGGCCAGTGGAAAAAGCACAGTTCCAGTTTTTGGGTGGCAAATGTTCTAGTACTTTTTGCATTGGAAAAATGCCTTTAGAGTACAATACTAATTAGAAATGATGTTTATTTTATACATGTGAAAGGACTCACTGTTCGCGTTGTTTTTTAGGTGTTTTTCAGGAA